TCCGGGAAAAGGGCCCCGGTGTCCGGGAGGGCCCCGGTGTCCGGGAAAAGGGGCCCCGGTGTCCGGGAAAAGGGCCCCGGTGTCCGGGAAAAGGGGCCCCGGTGTCCGGGAAAAGGGCCCCGGTGTCCGGGAAAGGGCCCCGGTGTCCGGGAAAAGGGCCCCGGTGTCCGGGAAAGGGCCCCGGTGTCCGGGAAAGGGCCCCGGTGTCCGGGAAAGGGCCCCGGTGTCCGGGAGAGGGCCCCGGCGTCCGGGAAAAGGGCCCCGGTGTCCGGGAAAAGGGCCCCGGTGTCCGGGAAAGGGCCCCGGTGTCCGGGAGAGGGGCCCCGGTGTCCGGGAAAGGGCCCCGGTGTCCGGGAAAGGGCCCCGGTGTCCGGGAAAGGGCCCCGGTGTCCGGGAAAGGGGCCCCGGTGTCCGGGAAAAGGGGCCCCGGTGTCCGGGAGGGCCCCGGTGTCCGGGAAAGGGCCCCGGTGTCCGGGAGGGCCCCGGTGTCCGGCGCTCGGCTGGTAGTGCATGTCGGGCGCTCTCACGGTCGCGAGACTCGAGGCCACGGGGGGGTCGTCACGGCGCCGGACACGGGGGGGGGGGGGTCCCTTTAACGGCCCCAACGGCCCCAACTCACCCAGCAGGACCTGCTTGGCCACAATGGCCGCCAGCCGCCCCAGGAGGTGCCCGCGCCCGTCGATGACCAGGACCTGCGGAGGAGGGGCGCGTTTGGACCCGGTTTTGGCCCGTTTTGGCCCGTTTTGGCCCGTTTTTCCCCGTTTTTCCCCGTTTTTCGGCCCCCACCTTCGGCTCCGCCATCTTCCCCCCGCGCCGCGCGCTCGCCCAAGAGGCCCCGCCCCCCGCGCGCCGCGGGGTCGCCGCTTCCGCCCGGGGGCGGCCGCAGGGGCGGAAGTGACGCACCGGGAAGCCGCGCCGCACCGCGCTCCCCCGCCCTTCCACGTTATGCAAATGAGGGCGCCGCGCCCCTCCCGCCCGAGGCCCCGCCCCCCTCCGAGGCCCCGCCCCCTCCGTGAAAAAGCGGCCGCTTTGGGCTCTGTTTTTTAACCTTTTATTGCGTTTTTTTGCACAAAAATTTCGCGTTTCCGGGGGGGGCCCCGGCGTCTGGGCCCCTCCCCCCTGTCCCTGGGGTGGGGGGGCTGGGGGGGCCCCGGCGTCCGGGCGGCCCCTCCCCCCCC